CTCAAAGGGGAAATAGGGCGAGATGATGATTGAACATCATACGTCTTTCAATCTATATATGAATAAAAAATAATTAATGGAAAGCATAATGGGGTAATATTCATTATAGGAATATTTATGAACGTTTATTTGTAGTAATACAACAATTTTTATTAAATAATATAAAATAAATAAAACATGGGTCCATAGCTCAGTAGTAGAGCATTTGACTGCAGATCAAGAGGTCACCAGTTCGAACCTGGTTGGGCCCTTTTTTGCCTCCCCTTCAACCTGCAATAAATAATTTAACTATATTTTTATTAAATTATAATAGCATTAAATTAAAATTTAATGTTTTATTTAATGCATTAAGTATTTAATTATATCATACTAGTGAATATTTAGGTATTATGACCCAACAGGTCGTGAAGTCCAAACCTAAGTGCTCAAAGGGGAACGAGGGCGTGATGATGATTGAACATCATACGTCTTTCAATCTATATATTAACAAAAAAATAAATCTAAATTATGCTAGGCTTGTGCCCCTTGTTACTGCATAGGAGTGGCAATGGGTTGGCCCTATCGGGCTCTAGTCATGCTAAATTACTTTGTGATTTAAACATACTTGACTGCAACCAAAATTGGGAAGGTTTCCTTGAAAATGATTAATGGAAAGCATAATGGGGTAATATTCATTATAGGAATATTTATGAATGTAACGAATGTTGTTTAATTGTAATAATACAACAATTTTTATTAAATAAGATAAGATAAATAAAACATGGGTCCATAGCTCAGTGGTAGAGCATTTGACTGCAGATCAAGAGGTCACCAGTTCGAACCTGGTTGGGCCCTCTTTTGCCTCCCCTTCAACCTGCAATAAATAATTTTACTATATTTTTATTAATTATAATATCATTAAATCCAAATTGAAAGTTTTATTTAATGCATTAAGTATTTAATTATATCATACTAGTGAATATTTAGGTATTATGACCCAACAGGTCGTGTAGTCCAAACCTAAGTGCTCAAAGGGGAACAAGGGCGAGATGATGATTGAACATCATACGTCTTTCAATCTGTATATGAACAAAAAAAGTAAATCTAAATTATGTTAGGTTTGTGCTCCTTGTTACTGCATAGGAGTGGCAATAGGTTGGCCCTATCGGGCCCTGGTCAAGGTAAATTACTTAGTGATTTAGACATACCCGGCTGCAACCAAAATTGGGTAGGTTCGCTTGAAAATGATTAATGGAAATCATACTGGGGTAATATTCATTATAAGAATATTTATGAACGTAATGAATGTTGTTTAATTGTAATAATACAATATTTTTTAATAAATAAAATAAGGTAAATAAAACATGGTTCCATAGTTCAGTGGTAGAGCATTTGACTACAGATCAAGAGGTCACCAGTTTGAATCTTGTTTGGTCCTTTTTCGCCTCTCTCCCAACCTGTAGGATACTCCTTTTCGTATTTTCGTCGTCTGGAAAAAGAAACCACTTTTTCTCACATTTCTAGAGAGTGAATTGAGCAAACTATTTTTTGGAACTGTAGAGCTTGTCAAGACGTTTGAATGTACTGGTGGGAATAATTTTTTAGAGCTACGGTCGCCGTGCTACGTCCAACGAAAGTTTAGGTCCACGTTTCACCCGTTTTGCTATATTTGAACTTATTTTCGTCGACAGAGATAGAAAGGTTGTATCTTACATTTCCGGAATGTGATTTGTGCAAAATCTGAGCCTATGATGTAGATCCTTTCGATACCTTTGAAAGTATGGCTCACAAGTAATATTTCGAGTTACTGTCGCGGAGTTATTCCCATTATAAGTTTGGGTACTCCTTTTCGTATTTTCGTCATCCGGGAAAAGAAACTATTTTTTCTCATATTTCTATAGAGCGAATTAAGAAAAATATTTGTTGGAACTGTAGAGCTCGTCAAGACGTTCGAATGTGTGGGTGGCAATAATTTTTTGGAGCTAAGGTCGCCGCGCTACGTCCGACCAAAGTTTAGGTTTGCGTTTCACCCGTTTTGCCAGATTTGAACTCATTTTCGTCGACGGACATAAAAAGGTTGTATCTTACATTTCCGGAATGCGATTTGTGCAAATTCTGATCCTATGACATAGAGCTTTTCAATACCTTTGAAAGTATGGCTCGGAAGTAATATTTCAAGTTACGGTCGCGGAGTTATCCCCGTTATAAGTTTGGCTACTCATTTTCGTATTTTTGTCGTCCGGGAAATGAAACCAATTTTTTCAAATTTTTGGAGAGCAAATTGAGCAAACTATTTTTGGAATTGTAGAGCTCATCAAGATGTTCTAATGTATGGGTGGCAATAATTTTTGGGAGCTACGGTTGCTGTGCTACATCCGACGAAAGTTTAGGTCCGCGTTTCACCCCTTTTGCTATATTTGAACTCATTTTCGTCGACGGAGATAAAAAGGTTGTATCTTACATTTCCGGAATGCAATTTGTGCAAACTCTGAGACTATGATGTAGAGAATTTTGATACCTTCGAAAGCATGGCTCGCAATTAATATTTTGAGTTACGGTCACGGAGTTATCCCCGTTATAAGTTAGGGTACTCCTTTTCGTATTTTCGTCGTCCAAAAAAGAAATCACTTTTGCTCACATTTCTGGAGTGCGAATTGAGCAAAATATTTTTTGGAACTGTAGAGCTCGTCAAGACTTTTGAATGTATGGGTGGCAATATTTTTTTGGAGCTACGGTCGCCGCACTACATCCGACGAAATTTTAGGTCCGCGTTTCACCTGTTTTGCTAGATTTGAACTCATTTTTGTCGACAGAGATAAAAAGGTTGTATCTTACATTTCCGGAATGCGATTTGTTCAAACTCTGAGCCTATGATGTAGAAATTTTTGATACCTTTGAAAGTATGGCTTGCAATTAATATTTTGGTTTACGGTCACGAAGTTATCCCCGTTATAAGTTAGGGTATTCCTTTTCGTATTTTCGTTGTCCAGAAAAAGAAACCACTTTTTCTCACATTTCTAAAGAGCGAATAGAGGAAAATATTTTTTGCAACTGTAGAGCTTGTCAAGACATTCAAATGTATGGGTGGCAATAATTTTTTGGAGCTACGGTCGCCACGCTACGTCCGACGAAAGTTTAGGTCCACGTTTCACCCATTTTGCTATATTTGAACTCATTTTCGTCGACGGAGATAAAAAGGCTGTATCTTACATTTCCGGAATGCGATTTGTGCAAACTCAGAGCCTATGACGTAGAGCTTTTGGATACCTTCGAAAGTATGGCTCGTAAGTAATATTTCGAGTTATGGTCGCGAAGTTATCCCCGTTATAAGTTAGGGTACTCCTTTTCGTATTTTCGTCATCCGGAAAAAGAAACCACTTTTTCTCACATTTCTGGAGAGTGAATTGAGCAAAATATTTTTTGGAACTGAATAGCTCTTCGAGATGTTCGAATGTATGGGTGGCAATAATTTTTTGGAGCTACGGTCGCCGCGCTACATCCGACGAAAGTTTAGGTCCGCGTTTCACCCGTTTTGCTAGATTTAAACTCATTTTTATCAACGGAGATAAAAAGGCTGTATCTTACATTTCTGAAGGTGATTTATGAAAAATCTGAGCCTATGACATAGAGCTTTTCGATACCTTCGAAAGTACGGCTCACAAGTAATATTTCGAGTTACGGTCGCGGAGTTATCCCCGTTATAAGTTATGGTACTCCTTTTCGTATTTTCATCGTCCAGGAAAAGAAAGCAATTTTTATCAAATTTTTGGAGAGCGAATTGAGCAAACTATTTTTTGTAACTGTAGAGCTCGTCAAGACGTTCGAATGTATGGGTGCAATAATTATTTGGAGCTATGGTCGCTGCGCTACGTCCAATGAAAGTTTAGGTCCACGTTTCACCCTTTTTGCTATATTTGAACTCATTTTCCCTTTTTCTCCTCTCCTCCAACCTGTAATAAATAATTTAAATATATTTTTATTAAATTATAATAGTATTAAATTCAAAATTAATGTCTTATTAATGCATTAAGTATTTAATTATATCATACTAGTGAGTATGTAGGTATTATGACCCAATGGGACGTGAAGTCCAAACCTAAGCGCCCAAAGGGGAATGAGGGCAAGATGGTGATTGAACATCATACGTCTTTCAATCTATATATGAACAAAAAAGTAAATCTAAATTATGTTAGGTTTGTGCCCCTTGTTACTGGCTTACTGCATAAGAGTGACAATGGGTTGGTCCTATCGGGCCTTGGTCATGCTAAAGTACTAGTGATTTAAAAATACCCGATTGCAACCAAAATTGGGTAGGTTTACTTGAAAATGATTAATGGAAATCATAATGGGGGTAATATTCATTATAGGAATAATTACGAATGTAATGAATGTTGTTTAATTGTAATAATACAACATATTTTAGTAAATAAGATAAGCTAAATAAAACTTGGGTCCATAGCTCAGTGGTAGAGCATTTGACTGCAGATCAAGAGGTCACCAGTTCGAACCTGGTTGGGCCCTTTTTTTGCCTCTCCTCCAACCTTCAATAAATAATTAAACTATATTTTATTAAATTATAATAGCATTTAAATTTTAATTTAATGTTTGATTAATGCATTAAATATTTAATTATATCATACTAGTGAATAACTAAGTATTATGACCCAACGGTTGTGAAGTCCAAACCTAAGTGCCCAAAGAGGAATGATGGCGAGATGATGATTGAACATCATACGTCTTTGAATCCGTACATGAACAAAAAAATAAATCTAAATTATACTAGGTACAAGCCCCTTGTTACTTCATAGGAGTGACAATGGCTTGGCGCTGTCGAGCCCCGATCATGTTCAAGTACTCAGTGATTTAAACATACCCGGTTGCAACCAAAATTGGGTAGGTTCATTTGAAAATGATTAATGGAAATCATAATGGGGTAGTATTCATTATAGGAATATTTACGAATGTTGTTTAATTGTAATAATACAACATTTTTATTAAATAAGTTAAGGTAAATAAAACAAGGTTCCATAGATCAATGGTAGAGCATTTGATTGCAGATCAAGAAGTCACTAGTTCAAACCTAATTGGGTTCTTTTTTTCCTCTCCTCCAACTTGCAATAAATAATGTAACTAGTAATTAAATTATAATAGAATTTCAACTTAAAATTAATATTTGATTAATTCATTAAGTATTGAAATTTAATTATATCATACTAGTGAATAGTTAAGTGTTATTACCCAACGGGTCGTGGAGTCCAAACCTAAGTGGCCATAGGGGAACGAGGGCAAGAGTTGGTGGAGTCCAAACCTAAGTGCCCAAAGGGGAACGAGGGCAAGAGTTGCTGGGAGCGCCTCTGCCGAATGCATCTATAGGATGATGGTTTGCCCCCTCTGTATGCTAACTCATAAAAGTATATTTATATAATAATTATTTTATGGTTTTTTTTTTTATCACAAATTAACTCAAACACTTTATACACACAACATGCACACACTCACACATATGGGGCCCAAGGTCCAACCCATAAACATCAGTTATGGGACCATATTTTGTTTGTGCACTAAGTCTTTTTGTCATGATTTGTTGGTTGAGCAATACCTCTATAGTAAAAACATCATTTTACTTTTTCTATTCCAGTACTTATTCTGACAATATTTATCAAGTTTGTCTAAACAATGGTTATCCAAATTCTTTTCCATCCCTATTATATTTATCTCACACCATGCCACTTTTCTTTTTCTCATCTCATCCTATCTACGTTTGAAAAAAATTAGTGTGAAAAAGTGAGTTAGGAAGGTAGAAACTAGGAATCAATCTTAGTTATTCTTCTATTCGAATTTGGGTTTGCAATTATTTACTCTGGAGTGAACCTGGTTCACGAGGGGTATAATGAGATTATTTGGGGTATGATGAAGTCCAAACCTTACGTTCTCTTAGTTTGGTTGGCTTTTATATATATATATATATATATATAGTATAAATATTTTTTTTTTTTTAAAAAAAGAAAATATCCTTTATGAGAGGTTTGCAAACCTACAAATTAAATTCGTCAAACTCAAAGAAAAAAACCGTCAAGCTCAAACAGGAAAATCATTGAACCAAAGTTATTGGGTTCAAGTTCAGGGTTCGCCTATTTTTCGAATCCAAACAAATTGTACCGTGAACCGGTTCAAGGTTCGGTATAATAGGTAGTAAATTAGACCCTAAATGTGGACCTGGCCAAGTAATTGTTTGATATGAATCTCTTTTGATCTGGCTATAAGTCTTAAATCGGTTGAGGTTACACTCGGTATTCGGTGCATCTATTAGCTATATGGTAACTTGAGTATCTATATATTTGCCCATTTATTTTCATCAATATTTAAAATTTAAACCATATTTTTTCAATGATTTAGAATCAATTTTGAAGAATCGTCCGTATTTCTGTTTTCATTCAAGTGTATATGGTTTAATCGAGTTTGAACCTTATCAAATATGATTATTTACTCATTGAGCTATCTAGCTCATTTTCTTTTATCAATCATCTTGCAGAGTGAATGGTTATAAAGAACGTAGCTCTTGGTGTATATGATTCAAGAGGCAAGACCTTGGATTTTTGAGATACAAGATTCAAGAACTTAAAATGTCATTTGTACAAATTTTGATATTGGAAATGATCTTTTAGTTGATCTATAAAATCATATGATTTGTATACTTCAAATAAAAGAATGAAAGTTAGTTGACTATATTTGATCTGCTATAATGTCACGCCTCTGAGATTCCAAAAATCTAGAATTTGTGGCGTTGTAGCAAATTAGCTAACCGGGTAGGAATGATCCGATTTTATGGGAGCAAGGTTTGAGGAAAGAATCCACAAATCACTGAAGCAGCACTATGTATAGGAGGTTTTACCACCGAAGGGGTGGACCAATGGTTCCTGGGCCGTCTCGCCATGTGAGGGGTCTTGGGTTCCATTCCTCACTCCCCCTTTGGTGGCAGCTCTGCACGGTTTTCCGGACTTACCCGGTGTGGCGGGTTGGGGTTGGGGGAACCCCTGGTCTCAAAAAAAAGTATTGGAGGTTTTGGGCGCCAAATCAAACCAAACCCAATTATAAATAGGTTCATAAAAATAACCCCGAACCCACAAAAGTATGTGGATTTACAGGTGGTCAGAAATGGCCACCCTGCATTGGAGGATCGAAACTAGGGCTGCAAATTGGGCCGGGCCAGCTCGTGGCCCGCCCGCCCACCCGACCCGACGCGACCCTAACCCAAATTAAGGGTCCGCGTACTCGGACACAAGACTCTCCTAAGAGATAAATATCTATCAACACTATCGTTTAAATGCGGGAGCAGAGCTTACCTTCGAACGTAAGGTGGAGAAGACGAGACTGAGAAAAGAGCTCTCAAAATGCAAACCCTAACGCTCTCTGAGAGCGTTTTTAGGTTACATTTACATCCTCCTTCTCCAAAACCTCCGAAGCTTTTCAATTATTCTTTGTTTTCTCTAAACATTTGCTCTCAGAATCAGAATTCCAAGCGTTTTCGTAGGAATTCCAGTCTTGTTTTATCGAGGTAATTTCGATTTCCCCCCCTTTTTTCTTCAGTTCTCTCTGTAACATTTCTTAATTCCTTCTTGAATTTTGGATGGATAACAGTAGAATTTTCAGTTTCTTTGTTGCATCGTTTGAGCTTTCAGTAGCATGTTTGAATCAATCGTGGTTTCAGTTCGATTTTGGGTTATTGTATCTTTTCTCTAACTTCGAGCTTGAATTTCAGCAGAATTCAGTTTTAAAATACGTTTTTTGAATTATTGGAGAAATTATTTTCTTGTTATTCTTCTTGTTCGTGTTTTTTTTTTTTTAATGGTTTTAGAAAATAAAAAAGTAAAATCATGAATCTGATGTATTCATCATTTTAGATTTTCTTTAATTCGGAGTTTTATTACCTGCAAACTGTTTCAGTTGGCCACTATTTGGACTTTTTAATTTCTGGGATGATGCATTGAAACTGCCAATCTATGTGTGTGTGGAAAGATTGATAAACCCAGAGTTTTAGGCTAATATCGCTAAGACAATGCATTTTGAATGTGAACTTTTCCAAATTCCAAATGAGAAATGAACTGATCAAATGAGCTGTTTCAGTAATTAAATGGAAGAAAAAATGTTGTGCAGGTATTCAAGACAATGGCCTCAAGATGTAAATATAGAGGAAGAGTGGTTAGAGCAATTGCTACAAACGTCGTTGGCCAACGGATGTAGCCTTGTAATTTTTCCTTGCAACCCATTATTTTTTATTCATTATGCATTACTATATATTATAGAGAAGTCTAGAACAGGCCCTTTTCCTGTGGTACAAGCAACTTGTTGTGGTAATGGTGTAACTCAATAGTCACCAGTCCACTTGGATTTAGTTGATAGTTGCAGCTGATGCTTTTACTTTTTCTTAACAAAGAAAATTTTTGAAAGAACATAACTACTATCTACCAACAGCCTACATGCAGGGGGATGTAACCCACTGTTAGAGTCCCTCGCAGCTGCAGGACATATCTATGCCAAAAACTATTCCTGCTTCAATGGCTTAACCATCCATCTATACAATTTTTTTTCTAGACAATTCACCTTTTCACCAGCATACAATAGAATGTGATGGGCTGGATGGTTACAATCATCCAAATGGTTTGAATTTTGGTGTAGAAGTCTCCTAGATGAGACACATCAAATAGTCGCTCCACAGGCACACATGGACAGCTATGCCTTTGGAATACCGTAGTTAGAATCTAGAACTTATCTCCTCTATTGCGAATTTTCTTCGGGATGCTTAAAGTTGGATATGTATTGACTTTATATAGTATTTATGCCTCAGAGCAGTATTCTGAAGTATGATGACAGTTGTTGTTTGGCTTGGTTTTATAGTTTGACTGGAAGGACTTAATGCTGTAATGTTAATTTCAATTCTGCTGGCAATTTTATATAGTGCAGTCCATAGTTCAAGCAACGGGATTGTTACCTTTATATGCTAATAGTTAGAGGCTAATTAGTGATTATCTATTATATTTATTAGATATATGGTACTCTGGATTTGTGGTTTATGCTTCCCTTTCTAATACATATGCTAAATGGAGGCATTACATTTTGTCTTCAGGAGCATAGATTCCTTGACGGCAAGAGTTACAAACCAACTTCAAGATCGATGGAAATTCAATATGATTGCAGTGCTTTGGATGAATCTCCTGCAGAAAGCAGCCCAAGAAGTGAAATTTGCGCGTCCACATCTTTGAAACATGAAGATGTTCCAGTTTCTGATGCATCATTTCATAGTTGGCTGAAGTTTGCGCTGCTCTTTGGGTTGCTCACATTTCAAGGTTCTCAACAGGCAGTGGCTGGTTCAGAGTTTGCTAGTGGGTTGCAGTCAATTCCTTACATAGGGGATCTCGGTGATCTTAGCACAGGTTTTGCTTCAGTTAGGAAAATCTCCTTGTAACTTTTACCACTGACATTTTAGTTATTGTAAGTAAAGCATATTGTCAATGCATCTTTATATTGCAAGTATGTTGGAACTTAAAAGAGATTTTCATGTTTAAATTCATTTATGCTTTACTTGACTAGATGATACACTGTCTTGCATTATGTCCTTCTAATTATTACCACTTAATTGTATTTCTGATGTATGGTAATCAATACCATGTAGATGTTTCTTGGGGCATACTATAGATAACATCAACTGACATAGAATTGGAACTTGGAAGGAACCATAATGTGACCTCAAAACATAAAACGCTAATCTCTGGATCTTTATAACGTTCTTTGTCAAATTATCCATTCATGTTAAATACTTATCCTAAATCCTGCCTAATCCTAAACAAGTGAATGAAGACAGTAAAGAAAGCATGGACTTTGTTCTCCATGACACTTGGGAATTGAAGATATCTAAGCTCCCTAGTGCATGATATACTGTTCTGTCAACTGATTCCTTTCAGGCTTTCGGCCAAGACTCCTCTTGCTATAAAGGAAATGTGAAAAGAACATATAATCAGTGATTATGTCTTCCAAGTCTTTGAGTGGGTCGTTGGTGAGGTAAATTTTGTTATTGAGTTTTCAGAATGCAGTCCGT